ATATATATATATATATATAATATATATACCTAAAAACTTGACATATCAGATATATATATATATATATAATATATATACCTAAAAACTTGACATACCATTTTCTGAGATCTTTTCTGGTAAAAATTGTATATAGAGCATATTAATATGATTGATAAAGTTTCGTATAAATATCATGATTGGAAGCTACCTTTGTAAATAAGACAGTCTCGCACAGCCCTAATTAGATACGTTTAGTATCAGCATAGCGCATCGCTAGGAACAGTATGTACAAAAAAGTTTTAAATATTTGAGCAACGGTTAATTACTAAGTTCTTGGCAGAATTACACGTCTTATCTTAAACAAGTACAAATCGTCCTTCAAAGATGTCACCAAATTCGATTTAGCATTATTGGTACTCAGTCTATATGGAATCGTGTAGTAATACATACATATGTGTGTGTATATATCGGTTTCCCTTTGGTCGACTCCCATGATTTGTTGCAAAATTGACGAACAGTAATACATATTAAATTCAATCTCTAACACGTTGACTCCAAATACTGGTTCTTCGAATACCTACTGTTGGCCTCGCGACAGAGCTGTAGAAGAACTTGTTAATTTCAACTTTACGATAATTATCCCGCAGTGACTTGAGCACTGGTTCTGACACTAAGCCAAAAATGTCCAAGTATAATAAAGACGGCATCTGAGCTAATCTTGCGAAAGCTGACTGTGGAATACTGTAACAACGACTCAGCGACAAGTGTTCCAATTCGGTGAAATTCAGTAAAGTATGAATGCTGCTTATGGTGAGTATAGCACAATCACTCAAATCCAATTCTATGATATCCGGACATCGTCTCAACAGATCCTTCACGTCTGGAAATTGGAAGTATTAATAATTAAAAGAACATATTTATATATTGTAATTAATAACAAAGCTTAATTACATTTTACTTACTATTATCATTCATTGTTTTCCTACAACCAGCTATATTCAAACGTCTAATAGATGATGGCAATGTTTTACAAAGTACCGACACACTCTCACTATCCAAGCAACACCAAGCTACATTGAGGGCAGTTAAGCTATAACATAATCCATACATCTACGTCGGAACATTTATCGCAAAATATCCGCGTGTATTTAGATATATGAATTAATAAACTTACCAATTGAGTTTTACCAAATCCATGATACAATTAGCATTAATATCTTCGCACATAGTTAAATTCAGAACTTCTAACTCTGTGTTTTGTTGAATTTCACTAAAGCAAGCCCTACTTATTGTACATTTTTCAAGTGACAAGTTTTTCAATGATTTACATTTGGACAATAATGTAGCCAAGCCATTTGGTGATATAACTGCCATAGATAGATCCAAATATTGTAATCTACTCGTATAAAAATCTCTAATGTAATCGCACTGTATATTGGGCCCATAGAAAACCGGATCCGCAATTTCCGCTTGTGCCAGTCTTAGAATTTGTACTCCACGTGGTAATATAAACCCTAATGTACCTTCACTTAGAACTTTACCACCCAAATCTAATCTAGTCCATAAAGCTTCGTCACGAGCTACTCGATACCAACGTCTACACACTAACATAGAGCGTACCTGTAAAATAAATAATTCATGCAAACCCTTACAATTTTTGTAAATTAAGCATTTATTGTGCTTTTGTTCTTACCAAACATTTCTTGGGTAGCCATTTTAGTATCATCAGAATTATCTCATCGGACAACTCATTAAATTTATTTTCACCAATGATCGAGAGCTTCTTTTTTCTTCTATATAAGCAGAATTGATCGACGCCAACATTATCAGCAGAAGCATCCGTACTTTCTCCAGCCAAATTTTCTTTTGCTCTCGACGAACTGTTGGATTCATTCTCTGTGCTATTAAATACAGCCAAATCGTAGATACATCCATCTTGCTCTATTCTATAAAGATAATTAAATAAAAAGTAAATATAGAAATTTAAATTTCTCATAAACATTTTTTTCTAAATTCTTCTTCACATACCTCTCAACGTTTGCATTATCCGCACTAGAATTCGTATGAATCTTTTCGTGACATTCTATGCCATCATTTTTGTGTCTTTTGTTTAACTTTCTCTTACTATCTGACTTTACAGGAGACATTATACAATCTTGAGAATGTAACTGTTTTGTACTTTCATCATTTGCTGTTGGATCTTCCAACATACTAACACCCATATCCTCTAAAATTTCAGGTTCTACAAAACTAGTATTTCCAGAATATGACCATCTTGTACTATTTTGAGGCACATTATTAATTAGATTGTTATTGCAGGGATTTTCCAGACGTATTTGTTTACTGTAGAACACAAAAAGATTTTCTGTATAAATAACATAAGTTAAATACAAATATTTCATTTCACAAATTATAAATTAATAATCAATTCATGTATTACGAATCTGTTTCATCCAATCGGTAACAGAGAACCTGTTTAATATATAGGATGTTCCACCATTAATGTAATAAATAAATTACATCTGAGTATACAAATTTCTGACAGCCTGATTGATTGTCATTTTTAAAGGCTTTCCTAAAAGCTAAAATTATTAGTCTTATCTTTTTCATATTAGGGTATATTTTCTCTAAAAATATCTTCAGGAATCTATTATGTACAAATGTTATAATAGTGATAGGATATCCTCTGTATATTAGATTCTCTTATTTTGTAAAATCTTAGTAATATAATATATAGATATTAAAATAGACTGTTATATAAAATCAAGTACTAAAGTTCTTCTCTTATATATACCAAGCATTATTCCTATCTATACACATCACAAAGAACAAATAATATATTTATCAATGCTACCTTAGACCATGTAAACTTTGAAATCATTTATACTTGATACAAGCTACAAGTGTAATCAAATTACATCCGATACACATTTTTTTTTATAACAAAAAGAGAGAAATATATTCCGGACGATCACTCAAAAGTAAATCTATCGCGCTGTAGAAAACGTCCAATATTATGTAATGGTTTATTGCTCGTGAAAATAAATACAAGGAGATGCGAACTTGTATCTGCATACTTTTCTTGCAAAATTTTCAACTTGAAGTGAAAGGCAAGGGCGCTAAGGAAATGTCAATCCTTGGTCATAATTACATTAATACATTCTAATATCAAGTGATTACTTGAAAACAAAACGTTGATCACTAATTTCCCATGCTATTTGGAATATTCTTTTCAAGTGAAGATTACGAGTTTTGACACTTGTTAATCTTGTTCGCGGGAACGCGCGAACTTACACCTGCCTGTTGGCGGGTGTTTACCTCTTTCTTCCCTGTGATCGTTATGAAGCAACGAGGGATTCACATGCAGGTAGCAACCGAAAGGACCTTGGTAAACGCGTTTTGCCCTCACATCGAAGTTAGCCTCACCTATCAGGTGGTGAAGATTCCTCGGTGTTTACTGAACAACCGATCTCGTGCAACAACATATTTTTAACTGTAATGGAATCCATTTCTGACGAAATAGCAGTTGCACCGCTCCTTTTTCGGGACGGTTATCGTATAGTAAACGATCAGACACCACATCGGTCAACACGATACGAACAACCACTCACTAACGGCGCGGTAATTGCTCGGTTGGCTAGTGATATGGCGAGGTGATTGTTGAAATCAGCCGTCGATTGGTCGATCGGTATAACGGCGGGAACACACGTGATAAAGACAGAAATGCCTCGAATGGAGGGAAAAACGCGCGCGAATGCTACAGACCGATCTGAGAAATATTCTACGTATCGTTTGGCGCAACTAGTGTGGTTAAGGACAATTTATGCACACTTCAATTTATCATTTCTTTGCGCTGAGCATCGTGTGCTGGGAGAAATCTTGTGATTCACTACGAGTTTAACGAAGTATAAGCACGTGTTCGTTGACATAGGGTTAGGTTGAGTCAAACAGAGATCTAGAAATATGGTGTTTTCCAGCATCCCGAGTACAAAGCTGTTCATTGGCTACACATATTTTGAACCAAGATCTCATTTGTCACATGACAAATTTTGTCCGATCCGCTGATTGGCTGTCAGATAGAGCATTTCTAAGACCCCTAATATTTTTTCCCTAGAAATCTCCTATCCCACAGATTCGTCGTAGGAGAAATAAATCTTTGGTTTTTGTTTCATTGGCTACACATTATCTGAAGATGATACTCAGCTCCTGTTAAATGAGCAAAGCAAATGAGAAGCATCCGACACCACATGAGCAGAATTTTCCTCCAATATAAGATTCAGTGAAATAATCTAGCCACGTATAAAAAGTACAGGAAGACTACGGTGGAGAGAAATAATTAGTAAACGCGCGTCAACCGTGCCTGAAAATGGCGTTGTCTTGTGCGAGTGAGTATTTTATTATATGTGCATTGTTTGCTTCATTATATATTCTTTCTTCTCTCTCCTGCAATTTTTGGGAGTGATGTTTTAATTTATCCAACGACGTTCGCACTAAAATTTATCATCTTTTTGAGTAATTGTAAAATTTTTTACCGGCAAAGTGGGCAGACATAACCTCTAATAAATTGGCATTAATACTGGACTGAACAGTATAATAGATATAAAGAACATCTCTTTACATAAAAAGAGAATTTTACAAGTGAATTTATATAATGTCGTAGCTGTAATTCTCTTCTGTTTATATTGCATATATGCGTTTGTTATATTTTAGTTAATTCCAAATCAAACTACTTTGATACTCAGGATGAAGTTACAGACAATGTGTCATAATTCTAAAGTAATAAAGTCTATCTGAAGAAATAATGGCAATTATTCTAAATTGTATTTATAGTTTCTAATGAAGTACCAGAACATCCCGTGATATCTCTTGCTTCTGGATCAATATTTGAAAGGCGTCTTATCGAGAAATATGTTGCTGAAAATGGAGTGGATCCTACCAATGGCAAAGAACTCACTGTTGAACAGCTAATTGATGTAAAAGGTACCTTTATTATTTCTTATTTCTCATATAAAATATTTTATAAGATTTTAATTAAATATTTTAAAAAATTCTACAATATTTATATAGATTATGTTAAAAGTAGACTATACAGATACTATTTCAGTCAAGCAGAAGTAGAAAAACAATTTACTGTCTATAAATTTTGATTATACATATTGAGTTGTTTTATTTCTAATATATTTATATAATTGATTACATTCATAAAATTTGTATCTTTTGTAGCAACTCCTATCGTCAAACCCAAACCACCGAGTGCTACATCCATTCCTGCAATATTAAAAATCCTACAAGATGAATGGGATGCTGTTATGTTACATTCATTTACATTACGACAGCAACTCCAGACTGCAAGACAGGAGCTCTCCCATGCCTTGTATCAGCATGATGCAGCCTGCCGTGTGATAGCAAGATTGACTAAGGAAGTTACTGCTGCCAGGGAAGCCTTGGCTACTCTGAAACCTCAAGCTGGAATCGTTCAGGCCACTACAATTCCACAGCCTGTATGATATTGTTACTACATTGCTGCTTATTGAAATATCTCAAATCATAAATCCTATATATTTGATAATTGTTAATATTTTATTATTCAACATTTTAATCCTCGATTAGATTTCGTTCCATATTTTACATACAACGTTTTCAATTGTTAGTTATCCATAATGTACATTGATTTCATTAGGCTGTAGCAGTGGAGGCTGGTGGCACAGCTGCTCAACCAATGGAGCAGGCTGGCATTACTGATGATGTTATTCAGAAGCTTCAAGAACGAGCGACTGTTCTTACCCAGGAACGAAAACGACGTGGACGCTCGGTGCCGGAGGATCTAATGCCACAAGATAATATTCGGGCGTTCCAAACACTTGCATCTCATCCTGTAAGTCTGCTTCATTTTCTGTATGCTTTGACTATTCTAAACTAAATATCGCTATTATTATCGTGTCAATATATTATCATTTTAAATATTTTATAATATCAGGGACTTCACTCAGCCAGTGTACCTGGAATTCTCGCACTCGATATTCACGGTGCTGATACCAGTAAGATTTTAACAGGTGGTGCCGACAAAAATGCTACCGTGTTCAATAAGGATACTGAGCAAGTTGTGGCTATTCTCAAGGGTCATACGAAGAAGGTATGTGCGTAGCCTAAAACATCATCTTATTCCTTGTTTGAGTATAATGTGTTTTTCTTTTACCATTCTTGCAGGTCACACGGGTCATTTACCATCCGGAAGAAGACATAGTGATGACAGCGTCTCCTGATACCACGATTCGCGTGTGGAACGTCGGTACCAGTCAGACCACATTGTTATTAAAAGCTCATGATGCCCCAGTAACTGGACTATCTTTGCATCCAACTGGTGATTATCTGCTTAGTTCGTCTTTAGATCAGCATTGGGCCTTCTCGGACATACGCACTGGTAGATTATTGACTAAAGTACGTTTTAAAAAATAATAATTCTGCATCTGATTTTATTAAAAAATCTTTTGAGTATACATTTTTCCATTTCGAATAAATTAAAAAAATAAAACAAGTGAAATATAATTTAAAGGTGGCGGGACAAGCCGGACAGCCGTTGACCACTGCTCAATTTCATCCTGACGGTTTGATCTTCGGCACTGGCACGGCAGATTCTCAGGTGAAAATCTGGGATCTCAAGGAACAGTCTAACGTGGCGAACTTCCCGGGCCACACTGGTCCAATCACGGCCATCAGTTTCTCCGAGAACGGATATTATTTGGCGACAGCCGCGGAGGATTCATGCGTAAAGCTCTGGGATTTGCGCAAGCTGAAGAACTTCAAAACATTGCAACTAGAGGAATCTTACGAAGTGAAGGATATTTGTTTCGATCAAAGTGGAACGTATTTGGCTGTGGCTGGAACGGATGTGAGGTAAAATTTCGAATTTTATCAACTCTTATTATTTTTTTATTTATTCTAAGGATATGATTAATTTATAGTGGCATTATATCGCTAATAATTAATATAACTCCATCTCTAAACGTAACATTATATTCGATAAAATCTTGGTATCTTTATTCCAGCGATGAATAGATCAAACATATTAATATTTCAATTATATTTCAATGATGAATTGAATTTGTAACTATTTGTAAATATTTTCAACGACACGAAAGTTTGAATTTGTTCGTACTTAAGAACACTTTGATTTCCAGGGTGTACCTCTGCAAGCAATGGCAAGAATTAAAGGTGCTAAATGATCACACAGCAGCGGCCACCGGCGTTCGTTTTGGCAAACATGCGCAATATATCGCCTCTACTAGTATGGACCGGACGCTGAAACTATACGGATTGTCGTAAATTCATAGGAGGACGTACAGATTTTGTTATTTAATACCGAATTATAAATTACTACGTATAAATGTGTCTAATGAACTTGTTTGATCTTCATTTGATTTCTTACATATGCTCGTTCCAAGAATTCGTCGAGAATTCAAATATTTAAAAAAATGATGATTCTGATGCAAATTCTCGAATATTACTATAATATATTATTCAAAAGGGTTCCTCGGATTAGCCGACGTAAAATTCAATATGTTGCACTGCCGCGTCTTTTTATGAAATCATGCAGTTGCTCGAGTGCAGTTGTGTATAAAATGACTTGTGTTTTCGCAGGATTTACGAATACACAATGTAATAAAACTGAATGAAATAAAAATATAAGAATCCCTTTATAATAAAACAATGAAATTATATATATATATATATATATATATATA